AACTTTTATTTCATCTGTTTATCAAGCTTTTGCGATGATCGGCGAATTTCGGCCAATACTTTTTGGTAGTGAGTGTATCACGCCACATCAGTTCCGGACCGAGACAACCGAGTTTTATGTCATCTGATCCTGGCAGTCTAGGTTTAACTTTGATAGCCAGGTTTATTGTACAAAGTGTTACAGCTGCAACAATATAAAATCAAGCACACGCTGACAGACCGATGCCAGTCAAGCCATCATTAATTCATAGTGAGTCCAATTAAGCAAATAAGGGAAAAAACAGTTCCTCAAGTATAACCATCGAAAAAAATGATAAAAACACATAATTTTTTGCCTTTGTTTATTCATTGGCGCCTGTGCAATCCCACTGGATCGTTCAAAGAGAGAATATACTTCTCATAATCCTTCTTGTGGTTGTTGGTAAATGCCGAGATAATAAAGATAATATAGGTGTAACATTCACGTACAAATATCACTTTTTTTTCTTTAGGTATACGACTACTACCGATAATCGACCAACACATACAAGATCCAGTTCTCTGTTGATAACAACAACGTATTTATTTTTTACCATAACTGTGATTTGGTTTATTGCTGGTACATACCAATATAATTACTTCTCCGTCATTACTATTACTATTACTATGTAGTTTTTCAAACATTCCAACGGCAACACTTGCGATGGCGATAACGCCAACCCAGTCGCTTTTACCAGAGGAGATATCAACACCAATCGAGTCTCCATCAATATCCAGGAAATCTAGTCCAATAGTTACAATATTATTCGCCATTGCTAGCTTTATAACCACATTAATTATGTATCTTAGTGGACAAAATGGCGTTTTTAAAATAGTTTGCTGTTTCAGTAAAGCCAACGAGGTGGCGAGAGAACCAAACATTAGAAATAATATTAGTCATATTATTGAACTTTACGAAACGTGAACTAGATATATTGTTGGACTTTATGGAGAACGAAAAGCAGGTGTTTTTTTTGTTAGACGTATTAATTTAAAGAGAAAAGTTAATTTGTAATTTATTTGTTGGATACGATATAGTACACCCCTTAAATTTCCGCAAACAATTAATTGCCCCGCCTATAATAGAATACATCACAATATTCGCGACATAAATACCTTATTAATAAACTAATAAATATTGGTACTAGATAAAAAATAATACTACACAAGGAAACATTGGAAAAAAACTTTACTATTTCTATTGTATTAGAGGGTCAGACACAGAATAGATAACATCCACAACTGTACATTACATACGGAAATGGACCGCGCATGTGCATAAAATTTTTCCATACTGCAAACTGAACATTTAGATCACTGTCATTTGTTGAGATTAATGGGTATAAAATTTAAAAAATTGCAATACAATAAGAAACAATAAATAAATAATTCTAACATTAAGATGATATTGTATTTAGCCAACTAGAACATTACCCTCGTTAACTGAACGTATCCGATGTAGACTATTATATTACTCGTCGTTAGGATAGAATATAAATTAATTTAAATACCGCACAAAATAATTAATTATTTGAACAATTTTCTGGCTTGGTCGATACTTAGCATTAGAACAATATTTTGACTAAAAAGTTCTATAATTGATGTGTGATGTATTTTGAGAGAAATACCTGTCTTTCTAACATTACGTAAAGTTAATAATCGTTGCTGATATAATTTAGTTAACCGTTATGTCACTCTGTTACAAATGGTTTGTGCTCCACGTCTTTGTTACTTTTATGTAACTGCCTCTATTCGGTCGTGTGTTTTCCAGATAACGGGTTACACGTATTTTACGGTCATAATGACGTCACATAACTTCGATTCTTATTACTATCAAAAGTAATTAGTATTACACTGTAGTCAAAAGTAATTAATATTACACCGTAGTATTAACGCAGACAAAGTCTGGACAATTGTTAGTATTAGACTCTTTATAGAATGGTAATAATTTAACTAAAATCCAAAGCTTTTTCCCCATAGGCTCTCAATGAATTGCGACTTACGTTGAAATTCTTTGATAAACAGGATAAGTAATGTTGTACCTGAGTGCTGGACCTGTGTCAGTTCTGGACTCAAGACAACTGAGTTCTGGACTGAGACGGTCCTGAACTGACATTGTGTCAGTCCCGGACTGAGACAACTAAGTTTTGGACTGACACAATGTCAGTTCTGGACCATCTCAGTCCAGAACTCAGTTGTCTCATTCCAGAACCCAGTCAACTGAGTCCAGAACCTAGTCAACTCAGTTTTGGACTACTATGTTTTATTGTAAAAATAATGTTAGATCAGCAATCTTTGTTGACTATGCATACTAACTCCTTGATTTTTCATCATAGCACTCAGCAAGTTTCTGACTACTCTTTTTCAACTATAATAAGGGTCATGATAAACGTAAAATCTCAAACTGTACAACGTTTATGTAGTTCTTATAAGTTTAAACGGTTATAAAATTAATGATTAATTAGTATATCTTTGTTAAGTGTTATATGTGAACGATTATTTCGAATGCGATACCGAAATCTAAGTCTGAAACA